ATTTCTGGAAGTAGAGTCATGGGTCCAAAGAATAGGTTTGTTTGGTTTTTTTTTAACAGTATGATTCACTTGCCATCCCATTCGCCCATTTGAAGCACACAACTCAATAGTTTTTCAATGGTGTGTTCAGAGTTGTGCAATCATCACCACCATCAATTTCAGAACATTTTCATCATCCCAGAAAGAACTCCACACCCATTTCTCCCCAGTCCCTTCCCCCTACCTCTAGGCAATCACTGCTGTAAAAGAGTCTGCAAGGTTCACCCATTATGGACACTTCATGTAAATGAAACCATACAATGTGCGATCTTTTGTGACTGACTTCTTTCACTTAGCATATATTTCAGGGTTTACCCATGTCACAGCACGTATCAGTACTCTTTTCCTTTTTCTTGCTGAATAATATTTCTGTGTGTAGCTAGACCACATTTTATCTATTCATCAGTTGATGGGCATTTGGGTTGTTTCTACTTTCTTAGCTATTATGAATAATACATCTGTGAACATTCATGTAAGATTTGGGATGAACATATGTTTTCACTTCTCTCAGATCTGTACCTCCCAGGTATAGAACTGCTGGGTCACGTGGTCATGCTATTTAAGCTTTTGAGGAACTCCCAGACTGTTTTTCAAGATGGCTGCACTGTTTGCATTCCCACCAGTAGCGTGTGAGGGTTCTGATTTCTCCACATCCTTGCCAACACTTTTCACTGGTTTTTTTTGATTACAGCAAACCTACTGTGTGTGAAGTAGCATCTCATGGTTTTGATTTGCATTTCCCAAATAGCTAGTGATTTTCAGCATCTTTTCATGAGCTTATGGACCATTTGTATATCTTCTTTGGATCAATGTTTATGCAGATCATTTGCCCATTTTTAAATTGGGTTATTTGTCTTTTAGTACTGAGTTGTAAGAGTCCTTTATGTATTCTGGTTACAATTCCTTATCCAGATATATGGTTTGCAGATATTTTCTCCCATTCTATGTCTTTTCACTTTTTTTTCCTTTTTTCTTTTTTAATATGTTATTTTAAGTAATCTCTACACCCAACGTGGGCTCGAGCTCACAACCCCGAGATCAATACTTGCACGTTCTACCAACTGAGCCAGCCAGGCGCCCTGTCTTTTCATTTTCTTGACGATGTCCTTTGCAGCACAGAAGTTTGTTATTTTGATGATGTCCAATTTACCTGTTTTCTTTTTGTTGTTGTTGCTATGCTTTTGCGTCATATTATCGACTAATCCTAGGTAATGAAGATTCAGGCCTGTGCTTTCTTCTAAGAGTCTTATAGTTTTAACTCTTATATTTGGGTGTAAGATCCATTTTGAGTTAATTTCTGTGTAGGGTGTGAGGAAGGTGCCCAGCCTCCTTTTTTTGCAATGTGGATGTCTAGTTGCCCCAGGCACCATTTGTTGAAAAGACTGTCCTTTCCCCACTGAACTTTCTGGGCACTCTTTTTTTTTTTTTTTAAGTTTACGTGTTTATCTTGGGGGGGGGGGGGGGACAGAGAAAGAGAGGGACAGAAAGAATCTCAAGAGGGCTCCACACTCAGCATGGAGCCTGATGTGGGCTCAAAATCAAGAGTCACTAGATCATGACCTGAGCCAAAATCAAGAGTCAGACGCTTAACCGACTGAGCCACCCAGGCACCCCTGTCTGAGCACTCTTGTTGAAGATTAATTGTCTGTAAATGTGAGGGTTTATTTTTGGACTCTCATTCCATTCTGTTAATCTATATATCTATTCTTATGTCAATACCACACTGTTTTAACTACTGTAACTTTGTAGAAACTTCCTATGGTTTCTCCAACAATGTTCTTCTTTTTTCAATATTGTTTTGGCCATTTGGGGTCACTTGAATTTCTCTAAGAAATTTAAGATCAGCTTGATAATTTCTGCAAAGAAGCAAGTTGGAATTTTGTTGGAGATGGTATTGAATCTGAAGATCAATTTTGGGAGTCTTGCCATCTTAACAATATTGGGTCTTCAGATCCATGAACATGGGATGTTTTTCCATATATTTAGGTCTACGTTAATTTCTTTCAACAGTATTTTGTAATTTTTAGAGTATAAGTTTTATACTTGTTTTGTTAAATTATTTGTAAGCATTTTATTCTTTTATGCTAGTATAAATAGAATTAATTTCTTAATTACATTTTGAAGTGTTCATTGCAAGTGCACAGAGATACAGTTGACTTTTTTGGTATATTCATCTTGAATCCTGCAACCTTGCTGAACTCATTTCTTAGTTCTAAATTTGTGTGTGTGGATTCTTTAGGATTTTCTATTTACAAGGTCATGTCACCTGAAAATAGAGATAGTTTTACATCTTCCCTTGCAACCTGGATGCCTTTCCCCGCCTTGTTTAAGTATACTGGCTGGAACTTCCAGTAAAATGTTGACTGGAAGGGCAGGCGTGTACGTCATTGTCTTGTTTCTGGTCTCAGGGGGAAAGCACCCAGTCTTTCACCATTAAGTACGATCCCCAATACTCTCTGTAGGAAGGCTCATTTTAGGCTTTCCTGAAAGGCTGGTTGGTTAGAGCCTCACTATTAGCAGCATATGAGAGGGACCCCAGTCCCTAATCTCCTTGTCAGTAGCTCCAGGTTTTAGAGGTGAGGAGCCCAAGGCCAGAGAGCGGAAGTGCTGCATACATCATCACACAGTTGCTCAGCTACCTGCCATGCCAATTGTCTTTGGTCACTGGGGAGTGAGCCTCTGGGGCACTCAGTCTTCCCTCCCCTGATGGAGATGCCTCGTGACCCACCAAGAGCAGCCACTGGTGCAGAAGGAGACCTGGCTTTTGTTCTGGACCTGGCCACGGACTTACTGCATGACCTTGAGCAAGTTACTCCCCCTCCACACCCCTCGCAGCCCCAGGCCTTGGTTTTCCTATCTGTGCAGTGGGAGAGGTGGTTCAACTCTGAAGTCTCCACGTCTGACCCGTCTGACCGTCCACCCTTAAACCTGGGCTGCTTCTGCCACTGCCCAGAGTGGCCACCAGAGGGCACCCCAGACCAGCATTTGGCCCAGCTAGGGCACAGGGGGCCCTGGGGAGGCTGAGAAGCAGGGTGTGTTTTTAAGGAGCTGCTAGCTTTGCTTGCTCAGGCTTCCTTGTGGCTACACCTGCCAGGCCCTGTGCCTCATTCCTCTGGATGAGCCCTGGTCTTTGAGGAGGGAGGATGGAGACATCACCCCCAAGGCCAGTGACCTTGCACTCATCCCTGACTGCCTTGGTTTGGCTGCCTAAGGCCCAGGCATCCGGTGTCAGGGCCAACAGCCTTGAGTGTCTCAGCCGGGAAAGGTTTCTACTGTCTCTGGGCCCCTGTGGGCACCGCATCCTTTGCCTACTGCATTTTGTGGCAGTACAAAGCCTCCCTCCTGGTGAGTTCCTGGCCACCTGGAAGGGAACAATTACAGCCCCTTTAGGACATGGATGGATTCTTGCCGGGGGTCCTGGACAGTGTCGCGTCTGAAACCACACCCTCTGGGACTCCCAGATTCCTCAAGAGACCGACTCCCCAAACCTCAGAACTAGGCACCTTAGGCATCAGAGACCACCCGACACTCCCCAGGGCAGAGTATCTGACCCCCGTGGTGAAGGATTCTCCTGGGAGCACCAGAGGGGTTCCAGCAGCCCTCTCTAGCCTCCCCCCGATGCTGATTGTACCCTCCAAATAGAAGCAGAACTTTTGCTTTCAAATCGAGCTCCAAGTCAAAGCAGCAGCTCTCAGCCCCTCGCGTGGAAGGACACGGGAGCACGTGCCCAGATGCCCACCACATTTGCCTGGAGCCCCCATTATTGTTGTGTCTTCCCCCCCTTCCACACCGGGTCCTCTTGAAGGCAGAGTGAGTGTCCAGTTCCCCTACGTCCACTTCAGGGTGGCTGGCTCAGGACTTGGCGTCCAGTAGAGAAGCTCAGCAGGTGTCACCATGGGAACCCTGACCCCATCGTCTCCCACTCCGGGGACCAGGGCTGCCTCTGCCCCTTTCTGAGCCGTACGACTTTGGGCAGGTCACTTAGGTTTCTGCGCATCCACTTTGTTTTTCCTTTGTTCCTCTACTTCCCTCAGACGGTCACGGGGGTCAGAGCGGAGATGAGAGCCGTGGTGTGAAGGGTGACCTCTCCCTGTGTCTGACACAGGGACACAGGCCCTTATCACCCCTGCTGCAGCTGTGGTGTCAGCTAGGAGGTCACATGGAAGAGAGGTGGACAGCAGGCCACATGACTCCCTGGGATTTTCAAATAATGGCTGGCGTTTTCTGGGCCCCTTCTGTGCACCAGACATTGTGCTGAGTAGCTCACCTGGGTCATCTCTCTTGATCCCTTCAGCGACCCTGTGAGGAGGACGCGTTACCGTCCTCAGCTTTGCAGATGAGGAAACCGAAGCATGGAATGATTAGCTACCTCGCCCAAGGTCCCACAGTTGGCAAAAGGTGGGACTGGGGCTTGGACCTCTGGCCTCTGGAGCCCACGCTCTTAGCCCCTGGGCCACTTCCTGCCTTGAGCAGATGTGGGGCTGGGACGGGCAGTTTGGGGTCTTTTTGTCCACTACATAGGAACCTCCAAGGACCACAGATCCTCGGTTCTGATCCTTTTTTCTAGACTTGTGTACCGAGACCAGAAAGGAACCCCTCCTCTCAATCTCTGTCTCTCTCTCTCTCACACACACACCAGGGCCTGTGGGGCAAAGCAGGACCCCAGCTACAGCAGGTGTTGTCACAGCAGGGAAATTGGGTAATCCTCAAAGCCCCTATGGGTCTCAGAATCTGTGATTCGAAAAGTCATCTTGGGGTCTCATCCACAACAGCCAGCCTCCCATCTTGGTCGAGCTCATTTGCCCAACTCGGGGGTCTTGGGAGAGGGTGAAAGGAAGTACCTCAGAGGCTCAAAATGATGCCCACCCTCCAGCCCAGACACTGGGCACCAGCAGGCTCCTCCTCCCCAACGCCCGGGCCCTTATCAGGAAAGCAATTTGGGTTGGTGGGGAGGGGGAAGTCCGAGGCCCTGGGCTCCGGCAAGGTGGGTAGGAGAGATAGGGAAGTGGGGAGGGGGCCGTGGGGCCCTGCTGGGAGGGCCTGAGGATGGAAGGGATGCCGGGAGCCAGCGCTGTCCTTGCTGGCCTGGCCTCTTGACATGGTCCCAGAGCTGCCTTCCCTCCTTGCCAGGCAAGGCGCCCGCACCTTTAATTAGCGAGCAGCAGCCTCTCCCCGATTCATCTCAGTCACTGTTTAATTAGCCGCGCACAAGGCACCCCTACCCCCCAGCTCTGGGTTGAGCAGCCTGCCTCTCTCATGGAGGCTGCCACCACCTCATGGTGTCCCCTCTCACACACACACACACCCCACCGTATTTATTCTGCTCCCCAGAAGGGGGGATGGGGCGGGCACGCCTGGCTGAAACCTCAAGGAGATTCTGGGCACTGACGCTTGTATTCAAAGCATCCAGCAAACATTATTAGGGCTTCGAGTCTGCGCCAGGCTGGCGCTGGGCGGAACCCAGGCTGGATGGGGGTGGCCGGCCGCCGTCCTGTCCAACTGTTCCAGAACGGCTTTTCCCTTTGGGAGGTGCCGGGACACCTCTCCAGCTGGTCCCAGGGTGTTGGGAAAAGCTTAATAATCCTCCCTGTTGCTCCCCCCGGCCCCCCCCGCCCCGCACCGCACAACCAGAAAGGAACGACCGTTTCTTCCTTCGCCTCCCTGCCCCAGAGCCCAGCAAGCCCCCCGGAGAAGGGTGCATCCACTGCGGGGGACAGGGCCCTTCCTCCAGCCGGGCCTCCGCAGTGCTCAGATCCCAGAGGCCCGGGCCGAGGCCATGGGCAAAGGGAGGCGGTGAGGCATCTCAGCCCTGCTCTGGGGCCTTGGGGGCACAGGAGAGAGCACACGGCGTGTGGCCGAACCAGCTGCCCTCTGTTGCCCTGAAGCAGGGCGGAGCTGGTGGCCCCGGCAGCCGCGGTCACACCCTTCCGGGCAGAGCCGGGGTGCCACCGCCTCAGGGCAGCCAGCTGGAGGCTGGAGGCTCAGGTTCCAGCAGCCCTGCGCCCCAGTCCCTCCTGTGGCTTCAGGCAAATCAGCCGCCCTGGGGCCTCAGTCCTGCCCACAGAAGGGTGCCGGCCCCCCTGCTCTGATATGGACTAGGGACACGGAAGGACTCGCGCTTTCTCTGGTACTGACCATCTGCGTGGCCGCGGCCAGCCACCAAACTGTGCCGTGCCTCAGTTTCCCCATAATGTCTACCTCGTGGGCTGTCCTGAGGATTAAATGATTCACGATGTTTAACACACTCAGAAAGGCGCCTGGCAGAGGGAGGAATCATTGGCTGTTTCTGCCATGATTTCCCGTGCTTTTTACCAATCGATATTTATTGCCAGGTATGAGGGACTTGGTGGTGAGTAATATGGCAATCTCCCTGCCTTTCAGAGTTTTCCTTCCGGTGGGGGAGGCGGATGAAAACAAGTAAATAAAGGAAAAGTGCAATTGCATCTGAACAAAGTCTGCGGTTTAGTTAATAGTAATGTGCCGGCGTTAACATCTTGGTTTTAACAGATGTCCCATGGTCAGGTTAAGTGACGCGGTGACGTGGAGAAAAGTGGATGAAATGTATACAGCCACCCTCTGTACTGTCTCCGCAGCTTTTCTGTGAACCTAAAATTATCCCTCCCCCAAAAAAGTTTATTTAAAAAATACAATTTCGGGTAAGGGTAAGCGCCATGAAGAAAATAAACAGGGCTAAGATAGAAGAGGGTGTGGGTGTGGCTACGGAGGGGTGGGCCAAGCCAGGCACCCTGTGGATGCGGTCTCTGGCCAGCATGAGACCATGTGTCACGGCAAGGGAGCACCTCTGTGTGATAGTTACGTAATCCACTCCAGTAACAGTAACATCACACGTATGTCATACAAAATTCTGGAAGTCCAAAACAACAGATAGATGACAATTTAGATTCCCCCCTCCCCCTCACTTTTCCTCCCCAGAGATGCTGAGACCCGTTCCTTGCGGTCTGGACGACAACTCTTAGACCACACCAGAGGACCATCGGCGGGTCCCCTGGTACCACCTTCCAGAAAGCCCTAGATGCAGGGCTGTCTTTTCTCATCCTCATCCCCAGCCTTGCCGTGCGTGTATTGAGCCCTTCACGTTAAGTCAGAGTGAACTGGGACACAGGCAGGTTAAGTCGCTCTCCCACAGGGTTCAGACTCAGGGACTCTCTGACAGCATTGTACAGATGAGGAGAGCGAGGCACAGAGAGGTTGTGCGACCAGCCCCCGGTGACTCTGAGCGGGTTGAGGGGCCGGGACCTGAGTCCGGCTGGCTCACTTCAGAACCCACTGCACCGCTGCGGCACCATCCTGGGAGAAACGCCCCCGACTCTGGAGCCCACCGGACCCAGGACTGATGTCCACCACTGCCTGGCTGCATAGCCTCGGGCAAGTCACCGTCTTCCCTGCGATGCGGCCCCCTCCCCCCCAGGACAAAGAGAAGGAAGCTTTCCTCTCAGATGGCTTGAGGGTGAGTGCAAGTGGTGGAGAGCTCAGGCGTGGGGCAGGCTCCGGGCACACTGGTCTCACCCCCGATTGTCATGATGGGCAGGAGGAAGGGCACGGCCAGGTGGGTGCTTCAGGGGGCCCTCAGCCCAGGTGGGGCCTTTCTTCCCTGCAGCTGTGCAGACAGAGCAGGGGGCCGGCCCACAAGAGGGATGGGTGGAACCCTCTCCCCACTGCCTCCCAGCACGCAGCCACGCTGCTGACCCAGGAGTTCTGAGGAGTCAGGAGAGGGGAGGGGGGTTTCCAAAGGTTTGTGTGATGCCCGCCCCCCCCCCACCACACCCACACACAGGCTGAGCACCAGGACCCTGCGGGGGTGGGGAGGTGGCTGGGTCAGGATGCAGAGGAGGAGGCCGCAGCCAGAAGCGGGCACCCAGGTGCCAGCTTAGGCTGGATTCCTGGGGGTCTCCATACTGGCAGTGTGACCTCAGGCTGGTGGGCTGGCCTCCAGCCAGGCAGGCTCAGAAAACGGATTCATCTACCTGCCCTGCCCACCCCGGGATGATCAGAATGTTGGGGGCTAAAACAATCAGATTCTCCAGGACAAACCCAAATGCTAGTTTTTTCATCTGCAGTGTGCACCAGACTGTTATGGGCCAGACTACTTTAGCCCCCCATCTGGTTCCCTTCCTCACACCCTAGGCCCTGAAAACCTGGGTTAGTAATAACAAGGGGGCCCTGGGATCTAGGTGTAGACCGGGATCTTGGAGTGATCCTAGCCAGGCTGCATCAGAACAGCACCGTGGAGCGGAGAATGCTGGGACCGGGGAGGCAAAACCACGCTTGGGTTTGACGCCCAGCTCTGCTGTGTCCCTGGGCATGCTAACTCACCACCGTGAGCCTCATTTTCCCCATCTGTAAAACGGGGCTGTTATCAGGCCGAGATCTCACCACAAAGATAGAGCTTCCGACACAATGCACAACCTGTAGTAGGTGCTCAATAAATCACTCTCCTCCACTGACTAGCCAAGTAATCTTGTTTTCCAAACCCTACGGGGCCTAGAGACAAACTCTGGCACTTGTCCTGTATTCACACGGCCGTCTGGGATTTGTACTTTGGTTGCCAAATGCTAGAATTGCTGGAACATTTACAAGAAGATGGAAGAGATGATTTGCAAGTGGTGCTGTCCCTGCTAATGGGGCTTGGTGGTCACAGGGCCTCCTCTGCAGGTGCCAGGAGTCTCCTGAGCCTGAGACACCTCTCTCTTGCCCGAGGCTGGGCTTGCCCAACTCACAGAGGTTTCTCTTTGGCAAGTCCTTTTTCTCAAAGGCTCCTGACAAGACAAGACGCCGCCTTCTGTCCTGATGATGTCTGGGTGTTGCGTGTGGTCTGTAAGAGCCGAGGCTGCTGCGGAGGGTGGAAGAGGGCTGGGTCAGTTCTTGCTGGGCATCCTTGAGGGGCCTTCACGCTCCGATCCCCCCCTGACCCGTGGAGCAGGGCTGAGGGCACATGGCAGGGCGACGCTCGCCTGTGGGCCAGCGTGACCGTGCTTGAAAAACTGGGGGTTTCTGAGGGGGTTTTCAAGGCAAGGAGGATGATTTTTAGAAAACGTTCTGTCTTTTCTGTGAGGTGGAAACTGTGAGCCAGATATGACCTTGACCATCAGTGTTTTTCCAGGAAGATGCTAAGTTGATATTGGGCCGAAAAGGGCATTCGTGGTCAAATAAATTTGGGAAACACCACCATGAACATCCGATGGGCTTCCTCACTGCAGGTTTCTCAGGCCCTTTCCTGAGCATTTGCTAAGGGCAGGGGCTGTACCTACCCAGCAGCCAGGCCTGTTGGATGGTCATGTTCTTTTCAACCATCTTTTCTTTCTTTCTCTCTCCCTTCCGTCCTTCCTTCCTTCCTTCCTTCCTTTCTTTTTTAAATTTATTTATTTATTTTGAGAGAGAAAGAGGGAGAGCATGAGCAGGGGAGGGGCAGAGAGAGAGGGAGACAGAATCCCAAGCAGGCTCCTCACAGCCGCGCAGAGTCCGATGACGTGAGGTTCACACCCACGGACCGTGAGATCACGACCTGAGCGGAAACCAAGAGTCAGATGCTTAACTTACTGAGCCACCCAGGCGTCCCTCAAATTGTTTTTTCAAAAAGCATCTCATGAGACTAGAGGGCTATGGAACTCACTTTGGGAAATGCCGAAACGGTTGAAAATTTCCCCCTCCTCCATGTATGAAAGCTGGAGGACATGAGGGGAAGATGGGGGCCAAATAAGTTGAAAGGACTTGGAGGATGTTCGAACCTTTATTTTATTTTCTAAATGGTGTTTGTATTTATTATTTATTTATTTATTTATGGGAGAGAGAGAAAGAGTGCATGAGCAGAGGGGAGAGGCGGGGGGGGGATGGGAGAGAAAGAACCTTAAGTAGGCTCCCTGCTCAGTGCAGAGCCCAACTCGGGGCTCAATCCCATGACCCTGGGATCATGACCTGAGCTGAAATCAAAGAACCAGACTCTCAACAGACTGAGCCACCCAGGCACCCCTCTAACCTTTATTTTACTTTTTTTAATGTTCATTTATTTATTATTTTGAGAGAGAGAGCGACAGACACAGTGAGAGAGAGAGAGAGAGAGAGAGAGAGAGAGAACAAGCAGGGGAGGGGCAAAGAAGGAGGGAGACAGAGGATCCAAAGCAGGCTCTGTGTGCTGTCAGTGCAGAGCCCAAGGTGGGGCTCAAACTCATGAACCATGAGATCA